TTGGGCCCCCCAGTGGGGGGTAAGGGCTGCACTGAGCCCTCTCCGGGGCCATCCAGGCTGTCAGTGCTGCGAGCCTGTAGAGCAGAGAAAAGAATCAGAGGCCCCCAGAGATGGGAGCAAAAAGACAACGAGAGCATTGTTATCTGCCAGCCTGGGCCTAGAGGCCCCGGTTGCTCCACACACGGCCCTGAGCATGGAGTAGGAGAGTAGGTCAGGGAGAGGTGTTGGCTGGGCTGAGGATAGGCTGCTTCTTCATGTGTGGTCTGGGGTGGGGGACTGGAGGAGCAGGGGCCTAGGGCAAGGCAGGTGACAGGAAAGAGAGCATTCTGGTCCCATCTCTCCCTGTTTAAAACCCTTCTGTAGCCCCTGCAGAGTAGAGCTACCTCCTACCGCTGTCTGGACAATCACAGCGCCCATCTCATCAGCTTCCTGCTTCCGACCTCTCCCCTCCCACCAGCTAGCTTCTTCACAAGAGGAAAATCACTTTCACAAAACACAAATTTGGCCCTGTTTCTCCATAGATCCTGGACCTTCAGTGGCTCCCTGTTGTCTTCAAGACGAAGTCTGAATTCTCGGGTCCAGTGATCAAGGCTTTCCTGAGCTGGCTTCTGTTTACCTCCCCAGTCCCATCTCGCCCCATCACCGCCGCTCTTGGAGCTCTTGAACTTTTTTTTTTGTTCTTTTTTTATTCTCTTTCTAGCTGATAATCAGAAAGAATGCAGAGCTCTTGAACGTCTAAGAGTCCAAAAAAACACCATCTTTTCGTTTCCTTCTAGGCCTTTGCAAAGGCTACTTCCTTGGCCTGAAGCACGCGTCCCCACCCTTTCACTAGGATCATTCGTCCTCACCTCTCAGGTCTCATCTCACTTGCGCCCCGCTCCAGGAAGTTCTCCCTGACCCTTCAGGCTGTGCCAGATATATCTTCTGGACTCTCTTCACCCCCTGAGGTTCCCCTATCTCAGGCTCCTTCACAGTCCTGAGCACTCTGAGATGCCACCGTCTGGTGACAAGTCCATTTCCCCCCTTGGACTGTGATCTCCCCATAAGCAGGGCCCCAGGCTGAGACCCCCAGCACGTCCAGCACAGAGCTGGGCACATGGTCGGTGAGCTTCACAAATAGGATTGTGCCTGATTCCTCTCTGGGTCCCCAATTCCCAGGGCCAGCCTCGTTGCACAGCAGGGGCTGGGTAAAATCTGATGAATAAATTAACCGGCTGCCAGAGAGGGATTCAGCAGACTGGGCTCTAGCTTCTCCCTCCTCTATATCCCTGCAACTCCGAGTTCATTCTTAGGTCTCACCCTCAGGGTCTGTTCCCCTCCAGCCCATGAAGCTCCCCAAGGCAGGATGGGATCTGACTCTCTCTGTGCCTGGAGCATGGGGCCTGCACAGAGGAGGTCTCAGTGAACGTCTATTAAGTGAGGGAATGAGGGAATGAATGGATGAATGAGCGGAGCAGTATGGTGGGAGAGGGCGATGGTGGGGGAGGGGGATGAGGACAAGAAGACGGAGAGGACCCAAGGATCAAGCGGGATGCAGTGCTGATTTGTTGGAGTAGAGTAAGGAGGGGAGTGGCTGGAGAGATTGAGGTAAAGGTTCAGACTGATTGGGGGCGGGGGATTGAGAGGGACTAGGATGGGGTGAAAACGAGGGAGCAGAAGAAAAGGGTCAGGCTGAGGATGGGGCTAGGTGGGGGTGGGGCTCAGGAATAAGAAAGGGGCTGTCGGGGGAGGAGGGGGCTAGACCCGGGAGGGGTGAGGGCTGGGATAAGGACGGCGAGGAAGACGCTGGGATGGGGGCTGGTGAAGGACCCAGGGAGCCCCAGCAGGCCCCCGAGGGGCCACTCGCGTGGCGCGGTCTTTCCCTGGACCAGCCCCGCCTTCTTCCAAGCCCGGGTCCTCGGCCACTGTCATCCCCATTCAGAGCGTGGAAGGGGATGCACGCTGAGGGGGCGGGGTCGACGTATGGGCTCCGACCCAGGACCCGGCCAGGGTACAAGGAGGACCGCGACGAAGGGTGAGGGGCTGCACAGGCCTCGGGCTCGGGCGGGGCCGGGGGCGGGGCGCGCGGGGCGGGGCCGCGCGCGGACAGACTGACACGCGGACCGACGGACTGACGGCCGCATGGGTCCCTCACCACCATGGTCGCGTAGCCTCCTCAGGCCCCGGCCGCGTTCGACCCCTCGCTCATCATCCTCGTCGCCGCCGCCGCCGCCATGGCGACACAAAGGGGAGGGCGCGAGCCGCGCGCGGGCGGCTGCAGGCCCCGCCCCTAACGGCTGCCCGTGGCTCCGGCGCGCGCCCCACGGGGGTGGAGAGTATCGGGGACGCGGCGCCCCTTCTCATTGGCTCCACCCTTGGCCGTAGGAGGACGCCCCGCCCACCTGGCGGCTTTTCATTGGCTTCGCCTTGGGCCCCATCCCTGGCGCTGTCTCTTCGGTCCCGCCCCCCGAAGTTTGACAGCGCCACGCCCATGCCTCCTTTTCATTGGCTGTCATTTTCTTCCTGAGACACACCCCCAGGTTCTTTATGCTTTGCCTCCAACACTTCTAACAGTGAGCCGTGGACCCTCCCTTTAGTCCACTCTCAATGACCACTCCTCTGACCTTCTTAATTGGATTCTCCCACGGCTTTGGGGCTTTGCTCTATTCCTCAAGCAGCTTTTCAAAGTCCCTGTCCTCTAGTCCCACCTCATTTCTGACCCTGACCCTACCCACAGAATCCTGAGGGCGCTCCGCCCATGGACGTTTGTTCATTGCCTCAGACACCCTGCCTAGGACATAGCCCTAGGCTCTCTGCAACTTGGCCCCTGGCCCTACCCATTGGACATTTTCTTCTTCCTTCCTCCCTTCCTTCCTTCCTTTTTGGAGACAGGGTCTCATTCCGTTGCCTGGACTGGAGTGCAGTGGTGTCACCATAGCTCACTGCAACCTCCAACTCCTGGGCTCAAGCCATCCTCCTGCCTCAGCATCCCAAGTAGCTGGGACTGCAGGCGTGAGCCACCATGCCCGGGTAATTTATAAATTTTGGTAGAGACTGTGTGTTGCTATGTTGTCCAGGCTGGTCTGGAACTCCTGGCCTCAAGCTATCCTCCCACGTTGGCTTCCCAAAGTGCTAGGATTACAGGCATGATCCACTGTGCCAGTCCCTGGACATTTTGTCTCCTCTTCTACTGCCTATTACAGGCCGGCCTCCAGCCTTGACTCTTTTTTCCTAGGGAAAGGTTTAGGCCACAATGCCCAACATTGTCATGCTTCGCATAAAGCCAATCTAAAATCTTCCCGCCACTGATGGAGCATGCCCAGAAAACACTGTAACAACGCCCTATCCCCTCTTTTTTATAAATACAGATATCAAAGCAATCCTGATCATATATTTGCCATCATTTATTATGAAAAGTTTCTAACATACAGAAAAGTTAAAAAATTTTACAATAGACACCCATATATCTACCACTTAGATCCTACCATTAACATTTTACTATATTAGCTTTATCTCGCCCATACCTATTACTCTATTCATCCATCGACCCAACTAATCTTGGGTGCATTTCAACACAAACTGCAGCTATTAATATACTGTCCTCTAAATATTTCAATGTACATATCTTTAATTAGAGTTTTTTATTTTAAAAAGTTTCTAACATACAGAAAAGTTAAAAAATTTTACAATAGACACCCATATATCCACCACTTAGATCCTACCATTAACATTTTACTATATTAGCTTTATCTCGCCCATACCTATTACTCTATTCATCCATTGACCCAACTAATCTTGGGTGCATTTCAACACAAACTGCAGCTATTAATATACTGTCCTCTAAATATTTCAATGTACATATCTTTAATTAGAGTTTTTTATTTTAATTTTAATTAGAGTTATTTATTTCTCTTTTGAGGTAAACTTTACATATAATGAAATTCACAAATTTCACTGAGTTTGATAAACGAATATACCTTTGTAACCCAAACCCCTCCCCAGCATGGCAACTGCTTTTTTTGCATAGACTCTAAAGCAAGTGTCAGAGAGAGAGAAAGGAAACCAGGCAGACTGTATCATCTTCTCTAACTGAACTTTGGAAGTTAAGTTGCACCACTTCCTCTGCATTCTGTTTGCTGAGGGGCCTAGTTTCAAGAGGAAGGGACATAGCCCCTTCCTCTTGATGGTAAGTGTATTAAAGAATATGCAGATATGTTTACAGAAACAGTAGATTTTTCCATAGTCCCGATGGGAGGTGGTGATAACTTAGACTGAGGTGAGGGTAGTGGAGGTGGGAGAAGGAGTTGAATTCTGGACAGATGTTAAAGGGAGAGATGGCAGATTCACTGGCTGACTGTGGGTGGGAGGGAAGACAGAAGTCAAAGATCATAAAGCTTTTGGCCTGAGCAGCAGAGGATGGAGCTGAAGAAAGTAGGGGAGGAGCAAGTCTGGGGGGAAGATTGGGAGCTCAGTTTAGGACCTATAGAATTTGGGACGTCTCTTAGACTTTTGGGTGGAGATGGTGATGATGTAGGAGCAAAAGGTTTAGTGCCAGGTCTAGGCTAGAGATAGAAATTTGGGCTCTATCAGAATAGAGACGAGATTCAGAGTCATTAAGACAGACAAGAGCACCTGGGGATGTGTGTAGATAGAGAAGTCAAAGCCAGGGCCCTGGGACAGGCCACAGTTGACACGCTGGGGCAATCGCCAAAGAGGTAGTGAGAGGCGTTCTGGAAGCAGGAGAAGAAAGTGCTTCAAAAAGGGAGGGATCAGCTGCACCAAATGCTACTGTTGGCACAAGTAGGATGTGGACTGACCACTGTTCAACACTCTGATGACTCTAGTAGCTTCAAGCCCAGAGGACAGTCCCTTTGGTCCCACCTGAGACGGGATTCCTGAGTTGAGAGTCAGAGAAGGTGGGTCCTAGTCTTGCTTGAAGTCTTGCCTGGAACCCTTACTCTCCCTGCTCCCAAGGAAGATGAGATCAGAAAAGAAATTTTTCTTCAGTGGTCAGAAAAGAGCCACAGTGGGGAGGGGAGGCATTCCTTAAATTGGCATGACCCTTGGCCTTTCCAGAACAGCACTTTTCTCAGAGATAACCTGCAACCTGAAAAAAATGTTTCATCGGATAAAAGAGAGTTTATACAATTCAAAGTCGTCTGGCCTCCAGGGAGTCTCCTTCCCTTCGCAGCAGCCTCCTTGGGGACCTAGGAGGCGACCTGGCTGGAGGGGACCGAGATCCCGGGTCTTCCACAGGGTTCAACAGGAAGGATAATCGGGCATCCACTTTCCTGGGGAAAAGTCAGGAGAGCAGAGGCTGAGGTATGTGCTCAAAATTAGGGTCTAGAGCTGTGGACAGGGTTCTGGGGAAGGGGATCAGGAGGGTGGACACCTAACGAGGGTCTCAGAGGATTCAGGGGCCCAGTATGGTAGATCCTCATGATGGAGGGTCACCTTTTCTCCTGACGCAGCTCTGCCCTCTGGGCCCTTAGCACCTGCAGCACAGGGTCGTCCTGGAACTCGCTGCCATCAGAGTCTAGGGAGAAATGAACCAACTTAAGAGGGCCGACCTCTTAGAAAGCGGGACGGCCACCGACATTGGGAAAGGCTCAAGCATGCGGCTCACCTTCAGCAGCCTCCAGAAGTCGGGTGGCCTGGGAGAGCACGTCCTCCGAGGGGGCGTGGCCAGCAGCCGGAGGGGGCGTGGTCACCGCCACCGCGGACGCCTCCGCAGCTGGAGGGGGTGGGGCCTTGGGCTGCCCATACCCCGCTTCAGGGGAAGCAGTGGCTTTGCTCTTCCAAAGCACTGACCCCGCTGGGGGTGACACAGCCTTGGCTTTAGATTGACACTGTGATTCTGACAGAGGGGGCATGACCTCTGAGTGAGGAGGCATAACAGTGGTTTTGGGGTGTATGGCCTTGGCTTTCTGAGGTTTAGCCTTGGCTAGAGGTGGGCCCTCCAGGCAAGGGGGCGTGTCTTCCAGGCTGTCAGGGAACAGCCGGGCTGTCACTACCTGGCCCAGAGCGCCCCTGAGCTGCGGGCCAGGACTCTCACCAGCTGTGGTGACTCGCTCAGTAGCTTCTCGCCGGGCCCTGCGAGGCTTGGGGCCCAGTCTCTTGGGCTGCACAGAGCTGCTTGGCTCAGGGGTGGGTGGGCCCTGGAGGGCGGCAGCGGGGGTGAGGATAGAGGCCAAGGGAACTGAGGTGGAGGCCAGGGGCACCGGGGTGGAGGCTGGGGGAGCCAGGGCGGAGGCTGGGGGAGCCGGGGCGGAGGCCGGGGGAGCCGGGGTGGAGGCTGGCTGCGTGGGAGGAACAGCCCCAAGAGATACCCAGGGAATGGACTGTGGGGCCCAGAAGAATCCGTGGGGGCTGGGGGCCCAGAAGAAGTGTGGAGAAGACACTGGGGGAAAAGGAGGCCTCTCCACATAGACGGCCTCTGGGGGACCAGGCCGGGCTACACCGCCCCACAGGGGGGCGCAGTTAGGCTGAGTTCCCAGAGAACCAAGGGTCTCCGCAGGGGCATAGGAAGTCTGTAGATAGATAGGAAGAGAGATCTGAGAGGGAGATAAAGCGGGTAGTTATTTTAATTTTAATTAGAGTTATTTATTTCTCTTTTGAGGTAAACTTTACATATAATGAAATTCACAAATTTCACTGAGTTTGATAAACGAATATACCTTTGTAACCCAAACCCCTCCCCAGCATGGCAACTGCTTTTTTTGCATAGACTCTAAAGCAAGTGTCAGAGAGAGAGAAAGGAAACCAGGCAGACTGTATCATCTTCTCTAACTGAACTTTGGAAGTTAAGTTGCACCACTTCCTCTGCATTCTGTTTGCTGAGGGGCCTAGTTTCAAGAGGAAGGGACATAGCCCCTTCCTCTTGATGGTAAGTGTATTAAAGAATATGCAGATATGTTTACAGAAACAGTAGATTTTTCCATAGTCCCGATGGGAGGTGGTGATAACTTAGACTGAGGTGAGGGTAGTGGAAGTGGGAGAAGGGTTGAATTCTGGACAGATGTTAAAGGGAGAGATGGCAGATTCACTGGCTGACTGTGGGTGGGAGGGAAGACAGAAGTCAAAGATCATAAAGCTTTTGGCCTGAGCAGCAGAGGATGGAGCTGAAGAAAGTAGGGGAGGAGCAAGTCTAGGGGGAAGATTGGGAGCTCAGTTTAGGACCTATAGAATTTGGGACGTCTCTTAGACTTTTGGGTGGAGATGGTGATGATGTAGGAGCAAAAGGTTTAGTGCCAGGTCTAGGCTAGAGATAGAAATTTGGGCTCTATCAGAATAGAGACGAGATTCAGAGTCATTAAGACAGACAAGAGCACCTGGGGATGTGTGTAGATAGAGAAGTCAAAGCCAGGGCCCTGGGACAGGCCACAGTTGACACGCTGGGGCAATCGCCAAAGAGGTAGTGAGAGGCGTTCTGGAAGCAGGAGAAGAAAGTGCTTCAAAAAGGGAGGGATCAGCTGCACCAAATGCTACTGTTGGCACAAGTAGGATGTGGACTGACCACTGTTCAACACTCTGATGACTCTAGTAGCTTCAAGCCCAGAGGACAGTCCCTTTGGTCCCACCTGAGACGGGATTCCTGAGTTGAGAGTCAGAGAAGGTGGGTCCTAGTCTTGCTTGAAGTCTTGCCTGGAACGCTTACTCTCCCTGCTCCCAAGGAAGATGAGATCAGAAAAGAAATTTTTCTTCAGTGGTCAGAAAAGAGCCACAGTGGGGAGGGGAGGCATTCCTTAAATTAGCATGACCCTTGGCCTTTCCAGAACAGCACTTTTCTCAGAGATAACCTGCAACCTGAAAAAAATGTTTCATCGGATAAAAGAGAGTTTATACAATTCAAAGTCGTCTGGCCTCCAGGGAGTCTCCTTCCCTTCGCAGCAGCCTCCTTGGGGACCTAGGAGGCGACCTGGCTGGAGGGGACCGAGATCCCGGGTCTTCCACAGGGTTCAACAGGAAGGATAATCGGGCATCCACTTTCCTGGGGAAAAGTCAGGAGAGCAGAGGCTGAGGTATGTGCTCAAAATTAGGGTCTAGAGCTGTGGACAGGGTTCTGGGGAAGGGGATCAGGAGGGTGGACACCTAACGAGGGTCTCAGAGGATTCAGGGGCCCAGTATGGTAGATCCTCATGATGGAGGGTCACCTTTTCTCCTGACGCAGCTCTGCCCTCTGGGCCCTTAGCACCTGCAGCACAGGGTCGTCCTGGAACTCGCTGCCATCAGAGTCTAGGGAGAAATGAACCAACTTAAGAGGGCCGACCTCTTAGAAAGCGGGACGGCCACCGACATTGGGAAAGGCTCAAGCATGCGGCTCACCTTCAGCAGCCTCCAGAAGTCGGGTGGCCTGGGAGAGCACGTCCTCCGAGGGGGCGTGGCCAGCAGCCGGAGGGGGCGTGGCCACCGCCACCGCGGACGCCTCCGCAGCTGGAGGGGGTGGGGCCTTGGGCTGCCCATACCCCGCTTCAGGGGAAGCAGTGGCTTTGCTCTTCCAAAGCACTGACCCCGCTGGGGGTGACACAGCCTTGGCTTTAGATTGACACTGTGATTCTGACAGAGGGGGCATGACCTCTGAGTGAGGAGGCATAACAGTGGTTTTGGGGTGTATGGCCTTGGCTTTCTGAGGTTTAGCCTTGGCTAGAGGTGGGCCCTCCAGGCAAGGGGGCGTGTCTTCCAGGCTGTCAGGGAACAGCCGGGCTGTCACTACCTGGCCCAGAGCGCCCCTGAGCTGCGGGCCAGGACTCTCACCAGCTGTGGTGACTCGCTCAGTAGCTTCTCGCCGGGCCCTGCGAGGCTTGGGGCCCAGTCTCTTGGGCTGCACAGAGCTGCTTGGCTCAGGGGTGGGTGGGCCCTGGAGGGCGGCAGCGGGGGTGAGGATAGAGGCCAAGGGAACTGAGGTGGAGGCCAGGGGCACCGGGGTGGAGGCTGGGGGAGCCAGGGCGGAGGCTGGGGGAGCCGGGGCGGAGGCCGGGGGAGCCGGGGTGGAGGCTGGCTGCGTGGGAGGAACAGCCCCAAGAGATACCCAGGGAATGGACTGTGGGGCCCAGAAGAATCCGTGGGGGCTGGGGGCCCAGAAGAAGTGTGGAGAAGACACTGGGGGAAAAGGAGGCCTCTCCACATAGACGGCCTCTGGGGGACCAGGCCGGGCTACACCGCCCCACAGGGGGGCGCAGTTAGGCTGAGTTCCCAGAGAACCAAGGGTCTCCGCAGGGGCATAGGAAGTCTGTAGATAGATAGGAAGAGAGATCTGAGAGGGAGATAAAGCGGGTAGAGGGTCCCCAGCCCCCCTCAGACCCCCGCTTCCTCCAACTCCCCTCAGGCTCCTTCCTCCCGACTCACCCCAGGGGTGAGGGCAGGGGTCCGGGACGGCACCCAGCTTCCGTCACCCTGGCCTCCTCGAGCCTGTTCAAGCTTCCGCCGCTGCCGCCACTGGTACAGGATGTCATCCTCTGGCCGAAGGGGTGCCCGGGAGGAGGCTGGGGCTGGAGCAGGGCCCGGGGCCGGGGCTGCTGTGGGGGAAGCTGAGGGGAGAGGGGCGAGGCAGGGCGGGGTGATCAGCCTGCACACACCCCCTGGGCCTATACCAGAGGGTTTTCCAGACAGGCTCCCCAGACAACGTGCCAGCTCCTGTCTGGAGTGGGAAGGGGGAAGGGGGCAAAGTCAGAGAAGGCACTCCTGGGCTTCTCGACCTGGTGTCATTCAATTCTTCATTCGTTGAGCAAACATTTACGGAGCTCTTACTAGGTGCCAGGCACTGTTCTGGACATTGGGGTTACAGCAATGAACAAGACAGAGGCTCCAGAATCTGCCCACCCCACCCCTCCCACGGCCCTCACCCTGCTCCAGCCCCACTCACGCCACTGGGACAATAACGGCAGCCTCCTTCCTGGTCTCCCTATTCTCCTGTCCTCCCAATCTGTTCCCCACTCTCAGCCGGAGGGAGCCGTGAATACCTGAGTCAGATCAGGGCCCGCGGGGTGAGAGTCCCTCCCTGGCTGCACCTCTCTCCTGGCAAAAGGCACTTGCGGTCCCCTCTGCCTGAAACGCTCTTCCTCATGTATCACAAGGCGCTTTCTCTCACATCCTTCAGACCTTTGCCCAAATGTCACCTGGTTAGTGAGGCCTTCCCTGGCTACCCTATTCAAAATGGCGACAGCCCCCAGCCCTACTATTCCCTGTCCTCTGTCCTGTTTCCTTCTTCTCCTAGCAATTACCACTTTGTTTCTTTCTTTTTTTCTTTTAAAGGCTGGTCAAGTGAAGCAGTGGGAGTGGCTTGGTACACTGCGGAATCCCCAGTCCTGCTCACAGGGCCTCATAAACTGTAGGACTCAATGTTTGGTAAATGAATGAATGAAAAAATTTAAAGCCAGGCGTGGTGGCTCACGCCTGTAATCCAAGCACTTTGGGAGGCTGAGGCAGGAGGATTGCTTGAGGCCAGGAGTTCAAGAACAGTCTGGGCAACATAGCAAGGCCCTCTTTCTACAAAAAATAAAAAAATTAGCCAGGCATGGTGGTGAGTTCCTGTAGCAGTTCTAGCTACTTGGAAGGCTGAGATTGGAGGATCACTTGAGCCCAGGAGTTTGGGGCTACAGTGAGCTATGATTGGGCCACTGTACTCCAGCCTGGGTGACAGGGTGAGACTCTGTCACTATTGAAAGAAAGAAAGAAAGAAAGAGAGGGAGGGAGGGAGGAAGGACGGAAAGAAGGGAAAGAAAGAAAGAAAGACAAAATTTAACTGTAAAACAACCCACGAACGAGTTTCATCACCACTTTACCAACTGGAAACCTGAGGCTCAGGAGGAAGAGGTGAATAAAGGTGAAGCTTGGAAAGAGTGAGGAATCACACAGGAGAGTCCTTGGACGGATCACACAACGCGCATGGACGCCTCTCTGTTTACTTGAGCTTGCCTGTCCTCACTCATGGGCGCCCCGTGAGACCTGGATAGCATCTGTATCCTGCACCACTGCAGCCCGGGACCTGGGCACAGAGTAATAGTAACGACAGCAGTAACAATAACCCAGGTCCTTACCACCATCTCTGAAATCTTGAGAATTAAATAGTTCACATGTTTTAGCAAAGTCACATGGCATGTAGAGCATCGACATGGGTCTGGGCCGCACACCAGATTCAAACACATTGATGTTTAGTCAAACCATGTGAAATTGCCAAAACTGGACCATTTTTCACTTATAGAACCAAAAATTCATATGGTTCAATATAATATATACATAGCAAAAACTAATGAGATCAGTGTATATTACAAATAGCCTCATGTTCTTTAGGTCGGATTTTGCTGTCAAATTGGGGTGATGCCAAACTTGCAAAAACCTCTTGAGTCTACAGCTTTGTGTTCAGAATTGCAGAGAGGATGATAGACTGGTCATACTCACGATAGCTACTGTTGATAGACCTGTGCTAGGTGCTGGCCACGTATTCACTGACTCACTTAATCCTCACAACACCCACAGGAGAGGAATACGATTATTAACTCTGTGTTACAGTTGGGGAAGCAAAGCCCAGAGAGGCCCACAGTCACTCAGCTGGTAGGTGGCAGAGCTGCCCTCAATCCTCGCCTCCCAGCACTTACCGGGTGCCCTGGGGCCAGAGCCCTTGCCGGAGTCAGGGGTGAAGTTCATGGAGAAGGGAGAGAGGCCATCTGAGCTGACGGGGAATGAGGAGGTGCTGGCGTCGCTGGGGCTGAGGGAGGAGGAGGAGGTGGAGGCCTTGCTGCAGGGAGAAGGCGGAAGTGAGGCAGTGGAGGTCTCAGAGGCTGTGGGCCACCTGGAGCTATAGGAGTGGGAAGGATGACAGAGGAGTGGAGGCACCTGCGTTTGAGCAGCCTGGCAGCTCTGCTCTGTAGGCTCAGCGTCTCCAGGTCCAGCAGAGATGAGTTCCATGTGTTGAGGTTCTGCCGGGTGAGAAGGTCAGAGGCCAGGCCCCACCGCAGAGGCTGCTGGGAAAGGGGCTCTGGACAGAAGGCCTGGGGTGCAGGTCTGTACCCTACCTGGTACCCTCACCTGCCAGCTTACAATCTGCTCCTCCTCCTCCTCAGGGAAGAGACCCAGTTTTCCTGTTCCGAAGCACCTTTTATGTGCAAATCACTGTTGTTGGAGAAGGATAGATCCCACCTTTCTGACCAGAGTAGACTAATCAAAGTTCTATCCTCTGGTTCACAATGATTGGCTCAAGGATGAGTGAATGAGAGTGAGCCCTGGGGCTTTGGATGGAGCTATTGGAAAAGCCCTCACTTTCCTCTGGAGTAGCTGAGTTAGTATCATGGGAGTCTAGAGCCACTGGGGGCCATCTTGGCTACTGTGAGGGAAAAGCCTGCTTGGACTGAGCCCAGCAAAGAGGAACACAGAGCCGAGAGAATTGGCTTTCTCCCAACAATGTTCAAACACCTGGATCCAGCCATGCCTGAAAGCATCCACTTCTAGATTTCTCAGTTACATTAGCTAACAAATCCTCTTTTTCTATTTAAGCTTCCTTGAATTGGGGATCAGCTCTAATTCTATTGCAGGGCTAGTGCTGTCAGTTTGGGCATACAAGGGAGGGAGTGTTTTGGGGATGTCACCTGCTTTATTTCCTGAAGGGGAGCTGCAGCCTGAGATACACTGGCCATCTTGGCAGGATTGGGGTCTGCTGTATGGCATCTTCCTTCTGGTTCCTTGGCTTCTGCTGGGAAGCCCAATTGAGTTATGAGGGCCAGGAGGAGCAGCTGCTGGGGGCATTGATCAGGAAAGCTTTTAGGCTGGAGGGGTGTGGGGTGGGGACTGAAGGAGGTACCTGCTGCAAGTTGACTGCTGGGGTCTGGAGACTCAGGCCGCAGCCACCAAAAGTCAGCTGGGGTTGGGCCTGCAGGCTGACGTTCCTCTCGGCTTGTGGGCTGAGCCTGGCGGAACCTGTTTATGTACCTGTGAACATCAGGGGCTGGGAGGTGAGTGGACTGAGAAGACACAAATAATAACAATAATAATCACAATCGGCAATGTTTATCAAGCACCAGGGCAGTGCCTGTAGCTGTCCTTCAAGCTGGTTTCCTTTCTTATACAGTAATGCAACTTTTAGCCGGGCACACAGCCACTCTTCTATAGACCACATTTACCAGGTGCCCTGGGGGCTTGTGGCCAGGTGACTAGGTTCTTGACAAACAGGGTGTGAGATGTGATTCTGGAAAGTTGACGTGGTTGGGAGCCATTTTGGTCGCTGAAGGAAAGGACAACACCTAAGGATGGGACTGCAACAAGACAGAAGGAACCTGTACCCCTGACACCTCAACTAGGGGCTCCCATATGAGCCCTGGTTGCTTCTGCCTGGACTATAGGTGAGGGAGAAATAAATGCCATCTTGTTTAAGCCGTAATTAACGTGGGACTCTTGGTTACAGCAGCTGAGTCTGCATCCTACAAATCCAAGTGCTCGCTATGTGAGAGGCATTGTTAGAGATCATTACAGATAGTAATTCACTGAAAATTCAGAACGGCCCTAGGGGATATGTGCTATTAATATCCTCAACTTAGAGATAAAGAAACTGAAGCCAAGAGCATATATAGAGTAAGTAGCAGAGCTGGGATTTGAACTCAGGCAGTGTAGCTCCAGAGCTCTTAATAACACGCATGAAGTGCCTGGTCCTAAAAGAGCGCGGCCCAAACAGCTCTGGCTGGGATGATTATTAGGGCACGCCTTCTCCTTCCCTCTAACCCAAACTCTCCTTTCCCCCCAGGGCTACTGGTACTTACTTGGCCACCACGGAGTCCCCGCTGTCAATCAGAGTGGGTGGTGGGGAGGCCCCCATGTGTCCCTCAGTGGTGCTGGGTGAGGAAGGGGTCCCTGAACTGGATGGCCAGGACTCCTCAAACAGCTCAGGGGAGTTGGGACCTGCAGCTAGAGCCTTGGGAGCCTGTGGGAGCCTGGATGAGCTCATGGTCTAGGACAGGGGAGAGCACAAGAAGAAAAAGTGAGGTCTGAGGGGTCACCCCTGTTGGGGAACGAAGACACACGTGAGGCCTCAGTCCGGAGGGGAGGAAATGCATTCCACAATGGCAACAATCTAGAGTGAGTGGATCTGCGACAGGGGATCCAGGCGGCAGACATCGGACAAGGGCAGGGCTGTGAGAGGGGAGGAGGGACTGTCTCTCAATCTCTCATCCTCATCTCTCAGTTCACGTCTTCTTACCCTTTAGTGGCCACTCCCTTGCTACTGGGCTGATGCTTAGCACTCTCTGTGGGATGTCCTCACCTTGGAGCCCCAGCTGTGGCTTCCACCCAGGGCAGCATCTCCAAAGGGACCGTCTGGGATGGAGAAAACTGGCAGGCTGCAAGGGGAAAACGGGCGTGCAGGCAGAGCATGATCACTACAACCCTGGGGGAGGGGACAGGAAAGGAGGGCAGAATCAGACAGTTCCCGTGGTTCCCCATGAAGCACCGCTGCACATTCAAGACGATGGTGGAAGCGTGATTCCCATGAGCTCTTGGAGCAGTCTTAACAGGGGAGAACCCAGGAAGTGGTAGCTGGTGGTTCTCAACCTTGAATCCAGCCTAGGAGGGGCCTTTTAAAGTTACAGGTGCGTGGCTCCCCCCGCCCCGCCCCCAGACCATCAGAATCAGAATATCTGCAAGCGGGCCTAGAGATCCGTATCTTTCCTAGGGTCCCAGGTGATTCGGAAGTGGAGCTCAAGAACCGCGACTAGACTCTGTCACCATACGCTTCCCACACACCCTGGGGGACACTAAAAGTGCAGATGGATTACAATCCCCATGATTGCTGGACTCCGCCTAAGCAAGAAAGTTCAAAGACAACACCCCTGGGTGTCTGGGGGCAATTCCCAACGTGCCCTTGAACATCTTTAGAGGAAAGAATCCTTTGGAGCCACTCAGAGCGGAACATAAGACGCTCAGGGGACCCTGGATGGTGAATTCTGAGGCTGGAGCGGCCCAAAGCCCGTGGGGCGTCTTGGGAGTTGTAGTTCCAGAGCAGTTGAGCCCGAGAGACTCCGGACTCGAGCAAACTCGTCCCTAGGCTGTGCTGCTCTCACCCTTGGCCCTCCCCGGGCCTCCGGTGGCCCCTGAAAGCGGGAGCGGCCTCACCTTGGGTCTATCCCGCGGCTGCCCGGGCACTTCCGCCTTCTCCGCTCGCTCACCGGACCGACCCCGCGCGCATCCTTGTCGCCTAGCAATGCCCTGTCGGCCCGCCCCCATTTGGGCGTGCCCGCGAAGGAGGGAGCAGGCCAAGGCTACCAATGACGGAAAGGAAAATAAAAGTAACTGGAAAGTGGCCAAAGGGAGGTGTCTCACGACGGGCGGTAACGCCGGCCTGCCTGACAGAGCGCGTTGATTGGAGAACCTGTAGCGGCAGCCATGATTGGCAAGACCGCGGACCAATGGGAAGAATCCGAGGCTGGGCCCGCGGTCAGGAGGTGACTGAAGCACCCTCGCTTTCCTTCAGTCTCGCTTTCCACCCGCTCTTCCTCCTCCTGCGGTGGTTTCTTGCTGACTCCCGACTCGAACTACCCTTCATTCTGGTGCGCGGGCGACGGGGCAGTCCATCCCCTCCCTACCGCCATCCCGCCATCGGCTGGGCTAGTCAGCCGTCCGGACGGTCATCTAACAGCCCCTTCACTCTTGCTGCAGAGCAGCTGGTTGCGTCGGTTGCCAAGCCCGGGCTGCTGGCCCAGGTAGCGGGATCAAAATAAGCTATTTCGGGCTCCAGCGCGGCCCACGGGGGGCCAGCCTGGACTGTTCGTGCTCGCACCCTATGGCCGCTGCGCGCCCGAGGCTGAGTCAGAGGCACAGAATTAGAGGCCCGGCTGCCGGGGGCCTGGGCCCAAGGCCTGGCCGAGGATGAGCGTAGGGTCTGTTTTGTGTCCTTCCGACAGCCTGGCCCGGCCACCGCATTTTCCAGGAATCTGCTCCTAAGCCCTCCATCTGCGTCATCCTCAGAGCTGCCAGAGGGGCGGGAGTGGATTAAAGGGCCTGGAAATTCTTCAGTGGGCCCCTCGGGCCCTGGGGCCCAGCTGCCGCGCTGTGTTCCCCACACCCGCAAGACTCTGCTCCCTCGACCTTCGTTTCCCCTTCAGGAAACTGGGGAATCCTAACGACACCTTCCTGGCAGCCTTTGCCACGCATCCAGCAGGCGCTTAATAAATGGCCAAGTCATTGTTGGGGTTTCTATATAAGGCTCTATTAATGGCCGGGTCTGGCCACCGTCCCAGTGTCCCCGGGCGGCCCTCCGAGGGGCCGGCACAGGGCGCACTATAAATCCGCGTGTGCGCAGGCAGGGGCACTGCAGTGCCTAGGACCGCAGCGGCGGAGCGATGGAGATCCCGGTGCCTGTGCAGCCGTCCTGGCTGCGCCGGGCCTCCGCCCCGGTGCCCGGAGTTTCGGCGCCCGGACGCCTCTTTGACCAGCGCTTTGGCGAGGGGCTGCTCGAGGCCGAGCTGGCTGCGCTCTGCCCCACCTCTCTTGCCCCCTACTACCTGCGCGCACCCAGCGTGGCGCTGCCGGTCGCTCAGGTGCCAGGCCTGGGGGAGGGGCTAACTCCACCGCCTCCAGGGCTGGGGGTCGGGGTTGGCCTGAGGAGGGTGACGGAATGTCCGTTGACTTTCAGCAGGGTGGACAGTCCGGCCACGTAGAGGGGCTTGCGGAGTTCCTGAGTTTGGATCTCAGAGGCCGGGTGACTGAAGCGGGTGGGAAGTCCCGGTCGCGCTTGCTGGGGGTGGGGTGGGTTTAGGGGGGTGTCTCATTAGGTGGGGGGGGAGTAGAAGGGCTGAGTCATTGAGAGGGTGGAGGTGGCCACTCTGAGGGGAAGTCTTGGTGACTCTGAAGGAGGCTGATGACCCAGGGAATTTTGAAAAAGGTGATAGGGTTGCAACGTTGTTTGTCTTGGAGCAGAGTTCGGAGACTATTCGTGGTGAACCGAAGTCTCCCGGAGTGGTAGAGAGGAGGGAGGGGTTCTGCGACGTGATGAAGGGGGCGGGCCACTCTGAAGCGGAGGCAGGTTGCTGGTAACTGCTGAGAGCGCAGGAGGTCCCGAGACACGAGTGGGAGGGTAAAGGGAGGACTGAGTCTATAGACTGGGGGGATGAGCAACTTGGCGATTTCTGGCGGGGGCTGGGGATAAGGGCCCCAGGGGCTCAGAAGGGAAGGGAGCTGGGGAATGCATCAGTGTCCTAGGAGCACAGTGACTGTGGAGTCCTTGACACTGGGGGAGGGAGTGGACAGGCCTCCTCACCCTGCGGGGCGGAGGTCCCTGACCTTGCAGGAAAAGGGAGCCTGATCACTCTGGATGAGAGGAGGATCCCAGTTATTCCGGTGAAGAGGTCTTCGGTGACACCGAGTAGGAAAGAGGACTCCGCACCGGAACCGACAGGGGTGGGGTCTTCCTGGGTCCCAGGAGCCTCAACCCGCCAGATGACAGTCCCGCCCCGCGCCGCCTGTGCGCAGGTGCCGACGGACCCGGGCCATTTCTCGGTGCTGCTGGACGTGAAGCACTTCTCCCCCGAGGAAATAGCTGTCAAGGTGGTTGGCGAACACGTGGAGGTGCATGCGCGCCACGAGGAGCGCCCGGTGAGCCAGCAGACGGGGGCGGGGCCGGGCCGGGCCGGCGCGACGGGCAGCCTGGAGGGGCGGGGCGCCACGGAAAGGGGCGGGGCCGCTCACGCCTCTCGCCTCCAGGATGAGCACGGATTCGTCGCGCGAGAGTTCCACCGCCGCTACCGCCTGCCGCCTGGCGTGGACCCGGCTGCCGTAACGTCCGCGCTGTCGCCCGAGGGCGTCCTGTCCATCCAGGCCGCGCCAGCGTCCGCCCAGGCCCCACAGCCGCCACCGGCTGCCGCCAAGTAGGGGTTTGGGTGCTCCTGAACCCTGGGAGCCGCCCTGGGCTCCCTCTTTCAGAGCCGATCTGACTCCACCCAGCCAGATGTCCCGAGCGCGCCAACGCCTTCCTCCCGCCCAATCCCGGATCGTGCCCTGACCCCTCCACCCTAGACCCTGCCTTGATAACCTACCCCTCCACAGACACCCCTGCTTTCACACCCTTTCCAGCTTTCAGACCCCACCCCGACAAGCACCCTACAAGCACTACCCTAACCCTCAGCCCACAGTCTCTCATCCCCACCGACCCTACTTTCTTGGCATGTGTCCCCACTCGAGAATCGCTCCTTTACTTCCTTCTGACTTCTCTATGAGGACGTCCCCACACACCATTTCCATGTCTTCCCCACTTTGACACTAGATTATGGTGCAGACAGCCCTGCCCCGCCCCTAGGCCAGTCAGGCATAATCCCCCCACACCCAAATGTCCTGGACTACACCGACCTCCCAATCCAGACCACCCATGTCTGGTTCCCAAGACTCTGGGTCCTTCGCCTGCAACCAGACAATCCACTTCCCCCCAGCCATTTTCTGACTTGAAACCCCAGCCAGCCACCCCAGACTCTTGAACCCTTTTCTGATCCCCCCACCCTTGGACACCTATCCCAGGGCAACCAGAACTCCCAGCCTCAAACTGTACAGATACCCTCCCAATACCCGCCCCCAACTCTGCACAGATGTCCTAGGCCCCTTCCCCAACTCTAAGCAGAACCCCCCAGTGCCTTTGTCCTGACCAAGTCTCCAACTAGATACCCTTGGCAACCCACCTTCCACAGTCCTCTTACCCCCCAAGACCCAACCTAACAACCACTCTGATTCCCCACAACCTTTCTCTCTGAATTCCCTGCCACCCCATTCCCCCACTCTTACCTAGGCTCACTCCCCCAATAAATGTGCTAGAGTTGTGCCAACTGCTGTATGTCTGGGCTGGGAAGTATGAGGCTGGAGCAGAGGCCAGTGTGGAGTCAGGGGATGTTTATTGGGGTGGGGGGACCTGGAGCATCACTGTCGCTCGTACATCTCCCGGAGAATCTTCATGCTTTCTGAGTAACGAAGCTGGTTCCGATGAGATGCCTCCTTCCACCTGGGGAGGTAGAGGGACGGCTGAGTAATTGCAGGAGTCCACAGCGGGGAAGCAGGTCAGGGGATGCTCACCTCTGGCGGATGCGTTTCCAACGCTGCATGTTTCGATAGATGAGTGTGGAGGCTGAAGGCTCGGGCTCGGAGGGCTGCATGGACAGAGAGGCCAGGCTGAGTGCCCAAGTCCAAGCCCCACGACATAGGCTCCGTAGCCCCGGGCCAGCCTTGCATACCCACCTCATCATCAGGGGTGCTGTGGGTCTCAGGCTGTAGCGGGGATGGAATGCGGGATCTGCAGGCATCTCCAGCTGGCCCGGGGGCTGTGGGCGGAGGCAGCTTGTACACATCACGACTCTTGCTGTTGGTGACCTCTGAACCCTAGGGACACAAGGGCCCCATACCAGGCCCAAAAGAGTTAGAGCAGAGGGCTGGGAATAGTACAAGTTTCATCTCCCCTGCCTTTCCCAGCAACAAAAACATGAGGGTCTTGCCAAGAACCTGTGTTTAGAGGAGTCAAGTCTGAAGGGCAGATACCTTAACCAGCCTGGGGGCAGGTCTGGTAAGCCTGTCTTCTCCTGTCCAGCCCAGGCTTCCTCATCTACACCTGCCCAGGGAGTCATGTCTGCTTGTCTCAGGGAATCCTGTCTAGGAGGTCCCATCTGTGTCACCAAGGGACCCCTGTCGACTGTTGCTAGTTCAAAGAATCATATATGTCTGTCCTGGGGACCCTTGTCTACCCTCTCAGGCCAGATGGTTTACAGATCCCCTGCCCAACCTAGGGGGTCGCCATCTGCTCCCCCAATGCAGGCGGCCACAACTGTCTGCTCCAAGGACCCCTGCTCTTGGAAGTCAGTCTGTCTGCCCAGGGCAATCCTGCTCCCTCTCCTCCAAGGCTGCCCTAGGCACCTCCATCCATACCCTCAGCCTAAGGGTGCACATCTGTGTGCTTCCTCTGATCCAGGGTTCACTTGAGGGACACAGAGACCTGTGCCTGTCTACCCTACCCCACCAGCTTGGGGGGAGGGTCCCTTGAGCCTGTCCCATTGCCCCGTCTGGCTGCTGGGCTGGGGCCCAGCACTCATCCCACCTCCTCATCCTCAGGCAGTGGGGGCAGTGGTGAGCCGGGTGAGCATTCACGCTCGCGCACTGTGGGGCTGTTGCGCATCCAGGCGCGGCAGATCGGATACAGTGGTGTGTTCTCGCTGAACTGGGCCAAGTCCACGCTCCGGTCAAACAGCTTGATCACATATGTGTCTGGGGGTGGCGGGGTGGGAGGTATGTGAGCATCTTCATGTAACCCCCTGGCTCCTTGCTCACCCTCGAGGGCCACTGTCTACTCACTGGATCTCTGTGGCCCGCCCTCGGCCAGCCCATCATCCATCTCCCTCCTCTTCTTCCTCCGCTGGTGGGGGAAGCGGGCAGATGGCCTGTGTGGGGAGGGAGAGTGTCAGCACCAGGGTGGGGGTGGGAACCTCTGGTCCCTTGGCCAGGGCCCTCCTGCCTTACCTTTTGCCAGTGGCTGCGATGGAGCAATCCCTGTGGGCAGAGACAGGGTATGAGCAGGCTGCCCCTCGCAAACGCCTGCTCAAACCCCCCGGAGGCCACCCTGGGGATCCTGGGATCAAGCCTGAGATGTTCACATGAACCCGCCTACACCTTAGGCCTTGTCCCGCCCACAGCCCTAGGGCTCCAGGTGTCAACGATGAGGAGACCTAAGCTGCTTCTGCCACAGGGTCTTTGTATATGTGGAGTGGTTGGGACCACCACAGAGGAAGCACAGGGCAGACGGGTCAGGGCTTGGATGAGGGAAGCAGTTACCCACCGCAAACTCTCGGGTCCAGATCCAACCACAAAGACTTACTTATTGTGGGTGTCTGAGGGGGTTTTCCCGGCTTCTTCATCCAGACGCTCCCTGGTAGCAAAAGAGAACTGTTGGCTCAGGGTTCCAAGGGCCCAAAATGGCAAGGCATTGGGTGGCCTCCCTAGTAGGCACCTTCCTCCCCAGGGCAACCTCTCAGGTCCCACCCAGATCTGCCCAGGATCAGAGAGTCCAACCCGCCAGGGCCCCCAGCCCCATGACCCTGCGCTGGACCAGGTCCCAACCTGTCCATGTGACTCTTCTCCAGCAGACACTGTAGAACGGCATCCAGTTGGTTCCGGGCCTTGGCCATCTCCAACTCTAGGTGAGGAGGGTGCCAAGCAGGAGTTAGTCCCAGGCCCCAGGGCATGCATATCCTCCACCCTGGCCAACCCTGTGGCCAGGTTCAGGCACGCTGACAGGGTGCAGCAGGTAGAGACACGGAAGTGACAAGCACGAGCTGAGTTCCAAGGCTGTCCCACATGACCACCAAAGCAAATACCTTACCTTACCGAGCCTGTTTCCTCATCTTGAAAATGGGTCTCCCAATGATACCTACCTGCTAGGACCGATGCAAGGTTTAAATAAGCTCACGTCATATATGAACCTCTTAACAGGATGGAGAAATGGTAAGTGATGTACACAGTGCTTACTACATGCCAGGCATTGTTCCAAGCACACCACACGTATTAACCCACTGAAGTCTCACAATAACCCTTGGAAGTAGATTATGATTTTTATTCCCATTTTACAGATGATGAAACTGAGGTACAGAGATGTTAGGCTACTTGCCCAAAGTGACACAGTGAAGAAATTGCTGAGCTGAGGATTTGAACCCTGGTTGTCTGGCTCCAAAGCTGAAGTTATAAGGCAGAGGCTCCAACTGGGGACAGAATCTGCCCCCCAGGCCTGCTTTGTTTGGCGGAGGCAGTGGTGTTATTTTAAATCTGAATTAAATCTGAATGAGCTGACAACATTTAAAAATTGGGAGATTTCCCTAAAATATCCTTTTTTGGCTTTTTCCTTCTCAGAAATGAGGTCTAGGCTCACCTTCCTGCACTGGCCCTGTCAGCCCGTGGGTTTGCCCCCCTTCAACACAGAACTTCAGGAAGTGATGATGTTATGGATGTCGTCCTCTCACATTTGCTCGCTCCTTCCGACGGGTAGGAGCTCTGGCCCCACTGGTCAGAGCCTGGAGGGGTACTTGGGGACATGCCTTGCCAGTCCTGGGACTTCTTGAGGAGACCAGGAGACACAGGGATTCCCAACATGGCTCAGAGGAGAGACAGGGTGAGGGTGGGGGATCGGGGACCACTGAGATTGTAGCAAGGAGCCCTGGGCAGGTGCCAAGGGTATGGATAGTGTCCACAGCTCTGTCCTCAGGCCCAGCTTCTCTCCTGAAGCCCAGACTTGGGGATCCCATGGCCTCCTGGACACCGCTCCTTGGACATCCCCCAGGTTCTTTCTACTCACTGGGTCCCACTCTGGCCTCAGTGTCTCTCTAAACCTGAACCGCCCCCTCAAGGGTGGCTCCACTGTCCCCCAGTCCCTCCCTGCACCCTGCCAGAGACAGCACTCTTCTTCTTGCACCCCAGCCCACCAACCCCATGGCCTGTCCCCTTGGCTTCCTGAGTCCCTCTCCCACACACTCCCTCCCTACCTTGCCCACTCTGGTCCTGACCTTTCCTCTCCCTGAGCTCCCTGCCTGTCTCCCCTTCTGATCCACCCTCCCTAGGTGGCCAGGGGACTCTTCCTAAAACCAAATCTGACCTAATCTTTCCCTGCTTAGAACCCTTCCTGAGTCCCCCATGCCAGGGGCAGTGTCTGCACTCCCCAGCCTGGCGTACACAGGCCTAGCCCTTCCCCCCACCATCACTGGTGGTCAGGCCCTTTTCAGGTCATTTTTCTACCCACAGTTTTTTTTTGGCATTTGGGGGGCACCTTTATTAACTCACTCCTCAGTTCAAAACCCTCCCTTGGCTCCCTTTTCCCTTAGAGCAAAAGCCAGAGTCCTCACCTGGGCCCGCGAGATCTGTCCCCTACCCCATCACATATTTGCCTCCCTCTTCTCACACTCGCCACCTCAGTCACCCTGCTGCAACCACACTGGCCCCCCTGCTGTTCCCTGAACATGCCAGACAAGGCTTCCACCCTCGGGGACTTTTCAAAGCTATTTCTTTTGTCTCAATTGCTGTTCCCTCGCCTGTCCGCATGGCTCTCCCTCACCTCTCCCATTCCTGATAGCCATAGCTTCTGTTTTGTTCTATTTTAATAACGCTTATGCCATCAGACATTCTACATCGCTTTACTATTATCTTTTTTTGTCTGGGTTCTGTGCCCTTCCCACTGCCCTTCCCATGCCAGGCCTGGCATCCCATCAGCTCTGCCCCAGCCCAAGATGACCTCCTCCTTCTGAGCGTCAGTTTCCCCGCCTACCACAATTCCCACTTCCCAGGATTACTGAAACATAGTGACTGCGAAGATTAAAAGAATCCCTGTGCTTCAGGCTCACGGCACAACGCCTGACCATGACCACTGCTGGAAATGGGGAAACCGAGGGGGAGCCGAGACAAGAGCCCTTCTCGGAGTTACCGGCTCGGGGTCCCCGCGTCTTACCGCGCCACACTGCCCGCGCCCCCACCGTCCAGTCTCAAAGCTACTTCCAGCACAGCCCAGGTGGCAACAAACTCAAGCTGCCTAATACAGCGAAGTCAGGTGGGCCGCAGGGAGCAGGTCCCGCAGTCCCGTTTTCGGGATAATCCTGTCCCTCGGGCTCCCAAACCTTGAACACCCAGGTGTTCCCCTACAGGTCCCCGACCTCAGGGTCCTCACCTGATTTCTCCACTTTCACCTTCACCGGGAACATGGTTTGGGTTCGGGGTCTGGCCAGCTCCAATCAAGGCCGAAGGCGGGCGGGGAGAGGTCAAAGGTAACCGTCGTGTGCGGCCGATGCTCCGCCTTGAGCAGTGTCCAGCCGCGACCGCCGCCGCCGCCTCCCTTCTTCTACTTCTGCGGGCAGGCCCCCTTGGCAGTAGCTTGTTCCCATTAGTCACTGCAGCCGTCAATCTCAAACTCTGACCAATTGACAGCTGACGCAAGTGGCTCCCGGCTTTAACTCCCACCTTCCTGGGGCTCCGTTTCCGGAAACAAACCGACGACCGTCCGCTTCCTGGGAGGTGTAGTTCTGTGTCCCGAGACCCACCCGGAGCAACGGCGCCTGCGCCGCGCGGGGCACGGTGGGCGGCGAAGGATCGGGAATCGACAGGCTTCTCGGGACTTGTAGTGTCAGGATGTTTGAATTACACCAATTTAGCTATTTACCGCATTTCACCAACTGTGGGAGTTCCTCTATCCCTAAGAGGAAGACCAGTCTGGAGTTAGGCCGGGTCCCCTCTTACTGAGCACTCGCTAGGTGCCACCTACCTGTTACTACTCTCTTTTAAGCCACAGTCTCCTTCATTTAGTGAATATTTATTAGTGTGCCAGGCACTGGGGACACTGCCAGGAACAGAACGGACAAAAAAATCTTTGCTCTAATGGAGCTTATCTTTTAGAGGAAGGAAAGATAAACAGTAAACATTTTAAGTGAAATGCGATAGGAGAAAGAATACAGCCTGAAAGAGACATAGGAGTATCAAGATGGGGACTGGATTTTAAATAGGATGGCCAAGGAAGGATTCTCTGAGCAAGCTCTAAAGTATTTTTATTTCTGCAGAAAATGCTTTCTTCAGAGAATGGGAAACTTCCGTTTACCACATGTGTCCTGGCCAGATAAATCCTAGCAGGTGGCATCATGATGTGTACCTCTGATGAGAGTACTGCGGCCCAGAGCCGGTGAGTCATGTTCCGGATTCACAACTACCAGCGCAGGATAACAGCACTAGAAATGGAGGCACTAGTCCTTGCTTGGTTCCTTATCTATAAAATAGGGTTCCTGAGCAGGAAAGCTTCTATTTTAGAGGATTATGAGTAGTATTCAGTGGAAAAAATGCACATAATGTGTAGCACAAAGTAATCATTCCATAAATGTTTTTGAATGTTAATCATTTTATGCTTCAGCCTCCAAAAGATCCCAGGAAGTCAATATCGAAAGTTGGGGTCCTTTATTGGGGGATGTCAGCAGAAAACATAAGACATGGGAACAAGTCTTAGGGCAAAGGAGCCTATTCTGGGAGAATGGGAAGGTGAGTCCCCAGCCTGTGCAGAAGTTGTCAGGGGGTTCCCAAGGGTATAGTGAAGGAGAGGTAGTCCCCTAGGGCACCCCAGCGCGGCCTGTAGATCTGGAAGATGGTGATCCAGGTAGTGAGCACAATGACCCAGAAGAGGAAGCCCACAGCTGAGCGCCAGACATCTGTAATGGGGAACAGGAGTGGGTAGGGGTGGCCTCCAGCTGCTGCTCTCTGGACTCCCCCAGACTGGCCCTCTCTTCTCTCCCATAGAACCCCACAATTCTCGGGCCACCATCATCCCCCCGGACCAAGATTCCCTGCTTCTCCCTCTCCCCACCCACTGGCCACCCTTCATCTGCACCCTAGACTCACAGCCTTTGATTTGGCTCTGCTCTGTGTAGGCTGGGACTAGGAAGGCCTCTCGGAAGAACCAGAAGATGTTAACCAACCAGAGAAACGGCAGGAAAGCAAACCCACCTAGGGAGAAAAAGAAAACCACACTGGGTTCTAAGGCAACGAGGATCTTCCCAACTCCCATCTAGAAGACCTATTTGGAGAAAACTCTCCCACACCCAAGTTAAAATGGAGATCTCTGCTGTCAGGGGCTCCGGAATCCTGGCTCTTCCCCGGGATCGAGGAATCTGATTCCTCAACCACTTTTTCTCAGGATCCAGGAGTCCGTCCCCCAACCTTGCTCCTCTCTTGGGACCCAGAAGTTAAGGCCACAGCTTGCTCCTTCCTCAGGACCCGGGCCCTCCATTCGCTCAGACCCAGGACTCAGTGTTCTCAGCGGCCTCATCTCTTAGACCCACGAATCCAGACCCTACGCCTCTTCCCTCAGGCGCTCTCGTCCAGGTTCCTCTCTTCTTCAGGGACCCTAAAGGATTGGCCTTTACCCAGGTAGTATTTCCGGCACAGGTTCAACTTCTCCTCATTGGACACCCGCTCCAAGTTCATAGTTGCGCTGCGGCTGGGTCGTCCCAAGGGTCTGAGAGGGGAGACCCAAGCCTTGACCCTAAGGGACAGATGCGAGGACCGCGAACAACCAGGCCCCTATTACGACAAATAGAGACAAATTTAAGAGTAGGTTTGCTGAAACAAGGGCACCCCCACCCCCACCAGCTGGCTAGGTTGATAAGCTTTTTATGTTTATTGGGGTGCGCGAAACGACCCCCAACTCACCAGTGGAGCTTACTTCCTCCGGCTGGGATGTCGTTGCTACTCTCAGCTATGGACGTTTGCTCTAGATGCCCAGGGTTTCTCTGGAGTTTGTAGTTTTTTTTTTTTTTTAAATGAAGCAGCGCTGCACGCATGCGCCTTCGAGAACGCCCGTCGGTAATTTTGCGGGGAGGGTGCGGTCCTCCAACACGCAAGCGCACTAGAGAGCGTCCGAGCGCGTGATGGGCGTCTAGAGGCAGCAACCGACTACACTTCCCAACGCTCCTACGCAACGGAAGTGACGTAGGAAGCAGACAATTGGAGGGTTCGAGTGAAAATGGCTGAATATTTAGCTTCGGTATGCGGGACAGAGAACAAGTGAGAACGGGCGCAGGGAATGTCCTCTCGGGGGGCTGGGGCCGGGACACTAGGGTCCCTGATAGGTGGGCGGCTCGAGGCGGTGTTTCTGGGGTGTCCGGCCTCTCCGGCCCTCAATTCACCTCTGTATTTGCATCTCTTGCAGGGTTAACTGCTCATTTTACTTTAAGATCGGGACCTGCCGGCACGGGGACCGATGCCCCCGGCTTCACAACAAACCGACCTTCAGCCAGGTGAGACCTGGCACGGAAGCCTTAGGGTTAATGCCTCCCATCCCTCCCCTTCTGCTGTCCATCGTCACGAGGTCCCGCCTTTTCCGGGTTTCTAGGGCCCTCCCTACCGCCCGGCTTTTTCCTGGTCAGGCCTCTCTCTGCAGGTTCCTCCCCCAACCTTCAGCCCTTCTTCCAGGCGCTTGGCCACGCCCCCGTATGTACAGACACTCCTGGGCTGCACATGATGGCTCGGTGTCCCCAAGCCCCTTCTGGTTTCTTAGGGGCAGGCATCGCTTGTGCACTCAAGACGCTTAGTCTCCTTCTCCGGTGCAAGGTCCCACGCCCAACTTCATGCCCGGCTTTTTTTGCATGCAGCCGGGCTCTCTGAGCTCGGGCCCCGCCCTTTGTATTTAAATTCTGTTCAGACCATATTGCTGCCCAGCCTGTACCGGAATCCACAGAACACAGCCCAAACCGCAGACGGATCACACTGTGCGTAAGGAACCAGGCCTGGGGGCAGGGCAGACAGCCCCCGCAGGCCACCCGCCATTCCACTCTCCTCCCCTCCTCCAGGTCACGTGCGCCACGCGGAGGTGCAGGAACACTGTGATAAGTTCTTCAAGGTGAAGGTTGGCAGGGGTAGGTTGTACTTCTTATGGGCCAGGAGCTCAGCTGAGTTCCTCCCTGTCTTCCACAGGAGGTGTTCGCGGAACTGCAGGAGAAGTATGGGGAGATTGAAGAGATGAATGTGTGCGACAACCTGGGGGACCACCTCATGGGCAATGTCTATGTCAAGGTGCTTGCTGTCCCTCCCTAGAGCCCAGAGGTGGAGGCTTTTAATGCTTCATGGTCACCGCTGAAGCCTCACAGCTTGAGAGGTTCATGACTAAACCCAGTCCAGCCCCAGAGCTGCTAACTACTTCCCTGAAGATCTCCGAGTTCTGCTGCTGACCCAGACTGACTTTCTTCTCAATTCCGACGGGAGGAGGATGCAGAGCGGGCAGTGGCCGAACTCAGTAATCCCTGGTTGAAGGGGCAGGCTGTGCATGCTGAGCTGTCTCCTGTCACTGACTTCCGGGAGTCATGCTGTCGGCAGTATGAGATTGGGTATGGTGGTACAAGGATGGGATGGGCACTTTGAGCCCCAGACTCTTGGGTGTGTGGTGGGGGCTGCCAGTGACAATTACCTCCTCCATCTGTCTGCCCTCTACCCAGGGAATGTACCCGCGGTGCCTTCTGCAACTTCATGCACCTGCAGCCCATTTCCCAGAACCTCTGGCAACAGCTGTATGGGCAGGAACCCAGCCGCAGGTACCTCAGGACCAGCCTGCCAAGACTCCTCATACCGAAGGCCCCTATACCCTGAGATGAGCCTACCCTAAGCCACAGTAACAGTGTCCCAAGACTGTTACACCCTAAGAATAGTCCTGAGCCCCATCCGGAGATCACCTGAGTCTCAACTCCAAAACCAGCCTGAACCCCAAATCCAAGAGCAGCCTGGATCTCCAACTCCTGATATTAGCCACTGCGTACCTACCTGAGACCACCTCCTAGAACTCTGGTTATTTCAGGACCTATCCTGCCCCATCTCAGAGCACAGAAGCAGGCCTGGGGGCCCTTTGCACCACTCCTCACAGCTCTAACCCAACTCTTTCCACTCCTATTTCCAGGTCACCCCCGAGGTCCTAAACTGGCCACCAACCCCAAGAAAGGAACCAACGGCATTCCCCAGATCACCGTCATGGTCGCTTCTGAGATTCTGAAGGGAAAGCCCTTCATTCCTGACAGGCACAGATGTTCTGGCCAGGACCCTTCCTCAAAGCCCCCTTCACTCTCCAGCTCTACCATCCCCAGGTTCCGGCTACATGATGTAGTCTGTTCAACAGAGACCTCCTTCCACCCTTGCCATAATAAAGTTCTGTATTGGTGGTTTAGACCTTTGTTTTTAACTTGCCGGAGTCTCCTTCCACCCACACGTCAAAATGACGAAAGGGGAAGTGGGCTGACTTTCAGCCATAACTTCCGATGAGGAACTTCGAACAGGTGGGAGAACAGGTCGGAATCTCAGGCCCTAATGCTGCAGTTGGGGTGGGAGCATATTTGTGCTGGAAACCTCAGTACCTCCCTGAGGCTTCTTCAAGGGGGAGATGCCTGGTTGTGGCAGGTTGGAGGAGTCCTAGCCCAGAGATTAGGGTTAGGAGCTAAGGGAGGTGGCTGGGAGTTGGGAGGGAATCTCCAGGGAGCAAGGGGCTAGGTTATTGATGCCCATTTCCCTGAGACGGGAGTGAGTGTAATAGTACCTAACACTTAAATTGAGGTTACCATATGTCAGGCGCTGTACTAAGCGTTTTACTTTTTTTTTTGATAGGAGGTCTCGCTATGTTGCTTAGGCTGGCCTTGAACTCCTGGGCTAAAGCCATCCTCCTGTCTCAGCCTCACCACCGCATCCAGCAAAGTGCTTTACTATTTTTTTTTTAGAGACGGGGTCTCGTTATGTCACCCAGGTTAGAGTGCAGTGGCGTTATCAGCTCACTGCAGATTCCAACTCCTGGGCTGAAGCGATCTTCCAATCTCAGCCTCTTCAGTAGCTAGGATTACGGGTAACTTCTAATAACGGTTCTAATTCTCCACAATGCCAGACGGGCCTGGGAATCCTCTTATCCCACATACACTGCGTCCTTCTGCCCAGGCTCCCTGGAAAGTGCGACAGAGGCGCTGTGGTTGGAAGTCCCGCGACCGAGGTCCCCTAGGCTTCAGTCCCCAGCCACATGGGGCCCAGGCGCCTCCTCCTGACAGCCGTGCTGCTAGTGGCCCGGGCGGCGAGGCCGGAAGCCTCCGAGTACTGCGGCCGCCTTGAATACTGGAACCCAGACAACAAGTGCTGCAGCAGCTGCCTGCAGCGCTTCGGGCCGCCCCCCTGCCCGGGTGAGAAGCCGGGGCTGGGTATACGCTTAAGTCGGGGAGGAGCGAGTGGGTGTGACAGGGAGCTGGGGAACTGCGAGGTGTGTGGGGGACGTGCCAGTGAGGCTTGCGCAGGGGTGGGGTCGGTGGGCCTTATGCAGGTAAGACGGGGATGACCGGCTGAGCCTGTGCGGAAGGGCACAGCGTGGGTTACGATAGGGCAATAACGAAAGATGTGTGGCCTGAGAGGCGGGATAGGGGCCGCGAGGAAAGAGTGGGCTTTAGGTGGATAAATCCGGGCGTGGGCGGAGCGTGGCGCAGGATGGGAGCGGAATAAAAAGGGAGAACCAGCACAGGGTAGTGAAAAGGGCGGGGCCTGTGCGGAGAGGGGGCGGGGCGTACGCTGACAGGCTGGGCGCACACGAAGGGGCGGGGCGTACGCCGACAGGCCGGGCGAGCACGAAGGGGCGGGGCGTACGCCGACAGGGCGAACACGAAGGGGCGGGGCGTACGCTGACAGGCTGGGCAAGCACGAAGGGGCGGGGCCCACTGGGATAGGCAGAGGCCACACTGGAGTCCAAGTCTCCCACTAGACTACGAGTTTGCGGAAAACTGCGGGTTCAGTGACTACGGCGATCTCATAACGCACCCGTTCCAAGAGTGTTCTCCTGGGCGGTGCAACCCCGACGGCGCAGAACTATGTGGCCCCTGCGGCGGCGGAACCACGGCCTCCACTCCAGCCACTCCCGCCTTGAGCCGGGCTGGAAGCCGGTCGCGCTGCAGAGAGGTGCTGGTCGGACTCCGAAGGGCGGGGGAGAGGGTTAGCCCGAGGTGGGGCGGGGATGAGAGGGCGTGGTTTGAGATCGGAGGGGCGGGGTCTGGCTCTAGGGATAGGGTGTAGCCCCATTTAAGAGGATAGGGTTGGGCCACAGCAGTATCAGGTGGCGAACCTTGAGGGGTTGGGGCTGGGGGCCTGGATCAGGCAGGGGACCTGGCCCCATCGAAGGATATAAGGGATGAGAGGTTTGGGCTGAGGGGGCAGGAGTGGAGCGTGGCCTCCCGCTTTACTCTGACCTCCTGTTCCAGAGGCCGGTCCCTACCAAGGGGTACTGCCCGCTGACACCTGGAAAACCGAGCGGCCCTAGCTCCCCAGCGAGTTCCAGTTGCTCGCAGACATCTGAGTGCGACGTCTCTCAGGAGGCCTTGCCGAGTTTTGTCCTGCCCTTGATCCTGGTCCTGCTCCTGACCTGGGCAGTGATAGTGATCCTCCTGCTGGCTCTGCGGACGCACCTCTGCCAGCCCAAGGGTAAAGCTGTCTCCTTTCCCCCTCTTGGCTTGGTTTGTGGAGGCCCCAATGCCCACACCCTCTCCTCCTTGTACTCTTCCCCAGGCGGCCTGGAGGTGTTGGAGACAGGGAAGGCAGGGAAGGAGGTCTCTCTGCTTCCACTCCTGAGCAAGGGTTAGTGGGGAGGCACCCAGAAGAGGGAGGTGGACTGGAAGCCCGCCTTCTCCCCCTTTACTCAACCCTCCATCTCCCAGAGCTGCCCAGCCTGGCGTCACAGCCCCTGTCGCGCCTCCTTGATGAGCTGGAAGTGCTGGAGGAACTGATTATACTGCTGGACCCTGAGCCTGGGCCAGGTGGGGGCACGTCCTGTGGCACTACTCGACACCTGGCCGCAAGATACGGGATGCCTGCTACCTGGTCTACCTTCACCTACTCACTGCGGCCAAGTCGCTCACCGCTGCGGGCTCTGATTGAGATGGTGGTGGCAAGGGAGCCTTCTGCCTCTCTCGGCCAGCTTGGTGCACACCTGGCCCAGCTAGGGCGGGCAGATGCGCTGCAGGTGCTGGCCAAGCTTGGCTGAGCTGGGGTTTGCTAAGCCTAGTGCTCGATAACATTTCTTTTGAAATAAATGCCTGTCTCTGGTCCTCACTAAGGGGCCTTGAAGTATCTTTTTTTTCTTTTTTGAGACAGGGTCTCACTCTGTAGCCCAGGCTGGAGTGCAGTAGCACGATCGTAGCTCACTGTAACCTGGAACTCCTGGGCTCAAGCAATCCTCCAACACTGGCCTCACAGAGTGCAAGGATTACAGGTGTAAGCCACCACACCAAGTATAATCTTAATTGGGCCCAAAAGACATTCTCATTCCCCTTCCTCCCAGGAGAAGGGCCCATTCCAACATACACACTTGACATGTGGGAGAGTTGGCCCTAGATGCCTCTGAGCAACCAGAGTCTTCTCTGAGAAACAGCCCTGCTAGCCCTAGGAGAGCACATTCACAGGCACTCAGAGCTGTGTTCTAAGTTGAAAAATGTAGAACATTTATTGTTCTGAATCCTTCACAGTCCCCACAATTTACTTCTAATTCTGAATGATGGCCTCTCACCGACCTGCTGAGGCTGACAAACTTCCTTGGCTCAGGATGGGTGTGGGGTATGGAGAAGTGAGAGTTTCTACTTGCCCCCAGCACCCTAAAAAATGGGAAGACAACCTCTCCAAACATCGACAGACTTTATTGTGGGGGGTTCCCACCAGGGACCCCACCCTCTTAAATAAAAAAGTGCATAGAAAAGAAGGGATTTAGAAACCTTTGTACAATATCTACATCCTGGGCCCCCAGGGCAGGAAGGGGGCGATTGCTGGGTGGGCTGGAGGGGGTAGAGGCAGGGCCCTTGCCACCTGCATGCCCACATTCACCCTGAACATGAGGGTGGGAGTGAGATGCTCTGGGAAGGAATAGGGAGCCCCCATGCTGGGGCAAGATGGCAGCAGGAGGTGTGAGGGGTCGTGGTGGGCGGCCACGGCCTCAGTTAAGGAATCGACGGCAGCGCTTGGCGCCACAGTTGCAGGGCAGCTTGTTGCTGGCATCCTCGATGGGGAACTTGTAGTCATAGGTGAGCTCCTCACCACGCAGGATGCGGCGTAGGGCGAAGATGACAATGTGTTTCTGACCCTCCACATGGATGACACGAGAGAAGCAGTTGGGCTCACATGAGTGGTTGATGAAGCGGGCCGCATTGCCATGCATTGTGGCATCCACCACGTCAAAGTCATCCATGCGAAACATGTAGCACCCGATACCCTACAGAGGTAGGGTGGCAGGAATCAGGTGCTCTGTCCCCATAGGCTGGCCCCGCCTCACCCACCTCATTGCCATTGCGAGCCCACCTTCCCATCGTAGAACTTCTCCCGTTTGTCAGTCAGCACGGAGCGAATAACGATACCAGAGTATTCAATGACCATCTCGCCAGCATCAATGTTGCGCTTACAAAACAGGCCTCGCCCGTGGATGGCTGATCTGCAGGGTAAGACGAACAAGGGGGAGCTCAGGGGGTCGGGGGGCAGAAACCAGGCAGCCCCCCACCAGTGTACTTATCCATCCACCCAAGGGGCATCCTCCCCCCAACCCCACTAACCTGTAGACACCCACAGCCTCTTTGGACGTCTTCTTGAGGTGACGAAAGCGCATGGCCATGGGCAGCTCCAAGCTGGTGGCACGTCTGGTGAGGACCAGCAGTGTCACACAGGCTAGTGCCCCGAGAATGACCCTTCTCACCCCTGGTCACCCTCCTTAGGACCTTTCCAGACCACCCCCAGCACCCCAGCTTGCCTCATCATACCTGGTTGACCTGAGCTGCACCTCATCTTCTTCCTCATCACAGGTGGCCCCCTCAGGGAGCACCCGGTGCTGAGAGGCCAGGAAGTTGAACATGTCAAAGGTGCATTTCCTGCAGGCGGGGGGAGAAGGGAGGGAGGAGGTTCATTGCCATTCCTTCAAGGAGACGCTGCCTACCCGTTCTTTGACCTGGGCCTGCTGTGGGGTAGGAGGAATATGCTATTGAAGACACAGCAAAAGGGGAAATGGGTGGGGTTCATTCTTCCGATGTAAACTCTAGAAATAATTCTTGGAGTGGCCTAGTGTCTCCTTCCCAGGCCTCAGTTTCCAATCTGTACAGACTTAATTCCCACCCTTGAGACCTCCCATGGGGCTCTCCTGACTTAGGCATCACCCCCCAGACCTCTCACCGGAGATAGACCTCAGCGCGGGCAGCCCCATGGGGATTCAGGGGCGGTTCCTCCTGGCCCTCTCCCTGCTGGTGGTAGCGGAACTTGTAGTGCTGACAGCGCTGGGCCCCAGGTAGCTGCTCTGCCAGGAAGATGACCGCATCATGGTGGATGCCCAGGAGCCTTGCCCCACTCATTCCTGAGGAGAGAACGTGAGGACACACCCGTCACATGGAAGGCCCATCTTGCCCTTGGGGAGTCACCCCAGCCCCCCAGTATCCCTGTGGACCCATCACTTACCACTGAAGGAGAGGTGTCTGAGCCGGGCATGCCCTCGGGCCTCCTGCACCTTCTCAATCAGAGTTCTCCATGCCCCTGGGGAGAGGGCAGGGCCAGAGCACAGTCAGGATGTTTGACGGACACTTTCTCTCCTTGCCTCTGCTACTTCCAACTTACCTTCCAAGCTCTCTGCCTCCACGCTGAACCCATCCTCACTGCTGATCTCGAAGCGCAGATGTGGGCCAGCCCGTTTTGGGGCCTGGTTCTCTTTATCCTCCGGGGATGGAGGTTCTTCCTCAGAGCTTGAAGCCTCACCTGGTCCCAAGGTCAGAGTAAGAGATCACCCTTCCTGGACTCAAAAGCCCCCTGCTCCCCACTGTCCTGCCAGCAGACACCACTCTCCCTCCCCGCAGGCACAGACGCTGGGATCTAATGGCCTCCTCCTGCTCCAATTGCCCAGTGAGTCCGGCAGAATGGACGTGATTTTTTCTAAGGCGCCTGCGGTTCCTTTGCTGCAGGACTTCTTGGCAGGAAGAGCACTCCGTGGAGGCTTGGGGTGTTCTGGCTCTGCAGGACACACCTGTGGCTCACTCAAACCCAGTCTACCATAAACGCCCATCTACCCATCATCATTCTATTTCTCATCCAAAATTAAAAATACTGGAGAATTATATTTTATACAAGTTTTTTGATAAATAGCAAATTTCTGTTAGGTGTTACATATATATTATACAGGCTCGCATGCGCAGAGCCAAGTACACTGTACCTTATGAGCTATTTAAGGGATTTCTCAGGGGTTAATAGATTTTAAAGACATAACGGACAGGATTTGCTGATGTGTATGTGTAGACGCGAGAGAGGTGGGGGTTGGTCAAGGACAACTCTGAGGTTTGGGGCCTGAACAACTGGAAGGATTACACTGCCACTGACTGAGGTGCTGAGGGCAAGGGAAGAATGAGTTTGAGGTGAAGGCCGAGGGCTCAGTTTGAGACACGCTGACTTTGAGATGGCTCTTAGGAAACCTCCCCCTGCAACACGCTGGTAGAGATGGGGAGCAGGCAGCAGGACGCAGGAGGCTGGAAAGAGCGATGCGGAGACTATGGGAATACACATGGGATTTGGAGCCACAGAGCTAGAAGAGAGCGTCTGGAAGGGAGTGTAGATAGAGAAGGCAAGGCCAGGGCCCTGGGACACATCGAAATTGACAGGCTGGGCCAATGAGGCGGCATGAGCAGAGGTGAGAGGAGAATGTGGAGTCCTGGAAGGCAGGGAAGAAAGTGCTTCGAGGGAGAGAGGGATCCGCTGCACCGAAGGCTGCTGCTGGCTCGCGCAGGAAGTAGGCTGAGGACTGAGCATTGTATTTGGTGTGGGAGGGGCACAAAAGTCTGAGTGGAACTTGCTTTAGGACAGACAGGACTCACGTGGCCACACTTTCCCCACATCACTTCTCTGAGTCAACCTGCCCACACACCCTCCCCAGTGATCCTCGGAACTGGACTCTTGCTGTGTGACTCACATCATCTGCAGCCCTCAGTGCCCCAGAGTTCACCTCTAACGACTTCTTCCTCTTCTCTTACCCCTCTTCCCACCCTCACCTCCACTCTGAACACAGCAGGACTGACTGCGGCGGCCTCGCCCGGGCACTCTCACTGCTCGCCTTCTCACGGAGCTCGTTCTAATCCGCTGTGCACTTGCTAATGCACGTGTCTGTTTCCCTCCTACGGTGTGGTATGGTCCCTAAGGGTGGCAACCTGTCTGCCACGGTCACTGCCATATCCTTATGCCATCTCTGACCCCAAAAGCAGCCTCTCGGTTAAGCAGTCTCAGTCCACCTCACGCCATTTGCACGCTCAGCTGCTAAGCTCTGTGTAGTAAGAAAATCCCCAGCATCTGGACAGGACTGGGCCACAACAAATTCTGAGCCTCAGGCTGCTCGACTACAAACTTACCTGGCCATAGCTCACTCGCTGTCCCCCCGTCCTCAGTGACCAGCAGAGAACTTCACTCCCAGCTTCGTGGAGTGCATCAGCCAAACTGCTCCAAGTGCCCCCACCCTGCCTACTAAGGTCTCTGCACATGCACCTGCCTCACCTCCTTCCCTGTCTCAGGGTCACCTATTCGACATCAGCCACCACGCCTCCTCCTGCCTCGTTTGCCACCCACGACCACCCTTCCCCCTCATCTTTGGCTCTGCTGGCTCAGCCCTCACACCAAACATCTCTAACCTGCTGCCCCACCTCCTCCTGATCCTTAAGCTGAACTTTCTGGCGAGGTGCCCGGGGTTGTTTTGGCTTCCTTAACCACTGTCTTCAATTCTGGACTCGGACACAACATCCTCCCTGCCCACTCTCTGTGGCAGCTGGGACTGCTGACTACTCCCTTCTCCTGGCCTCTGGGACACACTCTCTTCTGATCTTCTTTCCTTTGTTCCTGCCCCTCATCGGGGTCCTAGGTGGGCTCCATCTTCTCTGGACGATCCCAGAACTTCATCTTTGGCTTTACCAGGTCCCTAGCCTTCTGACCCTGGCAGACTTGGCATCTCTGTAACTCTAATGCCTAGTCTTGGGCGTGCGGTCTTTTTTGAAGTGGACCAATTCTACATCTGTCGGTCACCCAGCT